AGGGGAACATTTTTGAAAATAGTGAAAAAGAAAGGGCAAGAAAATAATAAACAAAAAATAGAGGGACGTTTTGTTGCAATTAAGTGAATGAAAGGACACTCCCATGTGCCTCACTTGTTCGGTCCTTCTCACTCGTCTTTGAATTTGAATGCTAACGATCTATACCTATAATTTAAAATTTGGATTCCACACTTGATAGTCTCGACATTCACGTTAGTGACTCCTTCTAAGACTAAAGAATATTTGCACAGACAACATAAATTTTCTCCAAGTTCGTGATGACCTACACCTTGGATTTGGAATTCACGTCCTCAACATTTGGGTTATTCACTTACCGCTATCTACATACCAACCTGAACAAATTTTGAAATTCTTAGGATTGAATCATAAAAATAGAACGTGAACTATATTAGTATATATAGTAATTTTTAATTCTTTTAAGGTTTTTTTTTTTTTTTTAATTATCCTAGATGGGTCTTATTTAGATATAATTTTGGTTCATTTATTTACTCCGTTTACTTAGGGGGACTTTAAATATATAGTTTATTTATTAATAATGTAGCTGATTTTTTAGGGCTATTAAATGTAGTTTGGCCATAGTATTTAATTGTTGGAGTAAAATTATTAAAGTAGATAATAAATTTGGATGTTATATAAAAATATAATAAATAAAGATTTTGAAAGTTTAAATATTAATAAAATAGAATTTATGTGTGTTCTTAAATAAAATTAAAAAAAAATTCAATTATTTTAATTTTATATTTATAGTTTCAATATATACGTAGTTAGAATGGATTTTTCTTCTCAATGAATCGTAATGGATGACGTCATTGTTGTACGCATGAGTTTTGTAGTTGTTTCATGATGTCTTCTCGTTGACTTTTTTTACCTCGGTGTTTTGGACTTTGACTTTTCTTTTTGGTAGCACAGTTTTAAATAAGAGTGTTGATATGACTCGGTAATATGATTAATTCAGATTATCTAATTCAAACCATAAAGATTGCGTTGTCATTTTCTTTTTGTTTGGTTAATCCGACCAACTCAACGAACCCGAAAAAAAATTACAAACCCAATTCAAACCTACTTTTGCTAAGATCAAGATCAAACATTTATAACCGATATCAGTGGTACATTATGACTTGTAAAAAACAACCTTGACAATTGAACTCGAGAGTTAGTTAGATTGTGTTGGATTTTGAACTCTATTCGAGTTCGACTAATCACCAATTCAACTATCCCAAAATTTTGAGTTGATCCAAAAGATTTTGTAGCTCAATCCGACCTGCATTCTTAATTTTAAACTATTATTGAACTTTTGTAATTCAATTTTGTATTCCCATGAATATTTAATAGATCAATTATTTATTGGGAGGAGAATGAAACACTTTTAAGGGCGTGGAAACCTTTTACCGGTAGACTGCATTTTAAAAACCTTGAGAGAAACCGGTAAAGAAAAGCACAAAGAGGACAATATCTACTCGCGGTGGACTTGTGCCGTTATAAATTAAATTTTAATATTGGTATATATACTAAATTTTTTTTAAAACAAATAATTACAAATAAAGAAATCTAGATGTTTCTAAAGTTAAAAGAACACGTATAAGATTCTTTAAAAAGGAAAATGTTAAAAAAAATTGGAAAGAACCATTGACTTATTCCTGTCGAGCTGACAGCTCAATGCTGGAAGCTGAAGAAGTAGAGGTGGAGAAATGGTGAGTCACTTGTCACTGCAGCTTCCTAATTTTGATAGCTTATCGGACTTCTCTTCTTCCTTCTTGTGCCAAGCTTTTCCATTTCCCTACGTAAACTTCAATCTTTGTTCGTTTTTCTAATACCATTTTCAATTTTCTAAAGCTATGTTGATTAAAATAATGGAAAGTTTTGATCTATCGACCTAGACTTTTGGGTCTAAGTGAAATTTGACTAAGTTTTAACGGTATCGTTCTATCACACTTTGCTTGCATTCACGTGTACGTGAATTATGTCACTACTCATCCCTTGAAATGTTGTGATTGTAAGCGGGTGAGGAAGTGAAAGAAAAGGAAAATCATGATTTTGACTAAGTTCCGTTGAACATATATTGTTCGAGTTTTTTTTTTAATTTTCTAAACTAGTGAATGTTGGATCAGGTCGAAAGATGTAGTCGATGGACAACTTGTGAATATTCAAATACTACTCTTGTTGGTCCTAGGGACAAAGGAGGTTAGGTTAGGTTAGCTGAAAGATGGTTATTAGTTCAAGGATGCAAGGTGCCCATGTCTTTTCGGGGTAAGAAGGGGTAGAGAAAATACCTCGAGTTAATGTTCGAGTACCAGGCGCTGTGACGCTGAAGTCACCCATGCCATATTCCTAGGAAACGCTCGAACGACCTTCAACAAAAGGGTACCTATAGCCAAAAACCCACACATGTGAACAAGTAGAGAATACCTAGGGACGCGAGACAACTCTCTCTAAGGAATTCGAAAAAATAGCCCTATAATTTTTGGAGAAGGGGTGCCTCCTTACAAAGACGAGCGTTGTGACTAGGCCCAGACGATTGCTTACGAAAAACATTGAACTCCACAAAGTCTTGTATGGGGGCTGACGTTGCCTAGTGCCATAAAGTTAAGGAAGTTGGTGACTTGATGATAGGGGAGCCAGCAGTGCCAAGTGGAAGGCTTGTCACTCAACAGATAAAAGTTATCAACAGAATAATAGGCCGATCTTCCCCAAGAGCTCACATCGATGGGAAGCTTTGGCACCTCGATGTCTTTTTTTCACCACCTGACATTGTAATATGTTCCAAGGGTCGGGCTTTTCATCCATTAAAGCAATACGTGAGCTAGGTTCAAAAGTCGTGAGTGTAAGGATTTATGCCCTAAAGTCTCCTAACTAATTATTTAATTTTTTATTATAGTTTTATTATTTTATTTACAATTTAATATTATCGATTATGAAAATTCAAAGTTATTAATGTAATCTCGAACATTATGTGGTTCACATACAAGAGGATCATGTTCAAGTAATAACCTAAAGGGTCTTTAGTATATGGATAAGGTTGGATGTCTTGTCCGGGTAATAGTACTATTGATACGACCCACTTTGTAATTGCTACAAATGATTTGATCTAAATCGTTCATGTGGAGACACATGTGTGGGGTATCATATACAATGAGTTTTTATAAGACTAGACCAATAAATATTTACCAATAAATATTTAATCTCTCTTTAATATTTCACATGAATATCATAAGCGACTCAATCTTAATCATGAGTGAGTTATGAATTCATGATTGTGAGGGCTTGTTCTTTGATTGACATGGGTGAGAATGAATCTTGTAGCTGATTCCGTATGACTACTATTTAGAGGACTTGACCAAATAAGAAGCTGGGAACATAACATCACGAGATGAAATTCACTACTTTCCGTATAAGAAAAGTAAATGAGTTGTTGTCTTAAGTGTTGATTTCGAGACATAAACAATGGGGTCTACCTTCTCATTGGCAGACTTGGTTTATGATTGGTATATGATTGGATCATAAAAAAATTGTTTATTAGAGAATTAGTGGCACTTAAGGTGAAATATGTAATTATAAGTGTAAAATGAACCTTTGAACCAATGGTAATTATGAACAATTCGTGAAGAATTTACTTGTTTGTAATAATTAACTTGTTCTGTAGTGCATAGGAGTGCAACTTTAAGTCTATGATGGATATATGAATGAGTAGACCTTAAGATTGCTCTCATTTAAATAGGACCTTCGGGTTGAACCAAAATGTCACTTACCTCTCACACTTTCTTCCATAGAGATTTATTTTGAAAATCTCATTCTCCAATCCCTTTGCAATTTTCTTTAAAGAGGTTTCCACAAGCCTTTGCCTTGTGTTCGAGCCATAACCAGGAAGATCTTATGGAATGTGAAAAAACTTTTACGTTTTTAGAATACTTCAAGTAGTTTTGCAAGCGACGGTTCTATTAAAGTAGAGTTCTTTCTCTCATATTTTTTTTTCTAATTTTCAATGAAATCAAAACGATACCCAATGCTTCCGTTATATGGATGAAGAGTTCATTCCCTTTAGTGAGATAGTTCAATCCATATCCGATATGGGCGTTAGAGCAATGAGAAGATGTAATGGCCCAAGCCCACTGCTTATAAGGGTGTTTCATTCTCCTCCCCAACCAATGTGGGATTCTCACAATCCACCCCCCCTTCGGGGCCAGCATCCTCGCTGGCACTCGTTCCTTTCTCCAATCGACGTAGAGTTCTTGCCCTCATATTTTTTTTGCTTTCTTTTAATTCTCAATGAAATCAAAACGCTTCCCAATGCAATTCTCAATGAAATCAAAATGGTTCCAATGCTTCTGCTATATGGATGAAGAGTTCATTCCCTTCAGTGAGATAGTTCCATCCATATCCGATGTAGGCGTTAGAGCAATGGGAAGATGTGACGGCCCAAGCCCACCACTATTGTCCTCTTCTCCTCAAGGCTTTAAAACACTTCTGCTAGGGAAAGGTTTCCATACGCTTATAGAGGGTGTTTTGTTCTCCTCCTCAACCAATGTGAGATTTTCACAACCCACCCCCCTTCTGAGCCAATGTCCTTACAGGCACACCGCCTCGTGTCTACCCCCTACGAGGGACAGCCTAACCAATGTGGGATTTTCACAATCCACCCCCCTTTTGAGCCAGCATCCTTACTGGCACACTGCCTCGTGTCTACCCCCTTTAGGGAACAGCCTCCTCGCTGGCACATTGTCCGGTGTGTGGCTCTGATACCATTTGTGACAGTCCAGACCCACTGTTAACCGATATTGTCCTCTTCGAGTTTCCCTTTTGGGCTTATCCTCAAGGCTTTAAAATGTGTCTGCTAGGGGAAAGGTTTTCACACCCTTATAAAGGGTGTTTCGTTCTCCGCCCCAACTAATGTGGGATTCTACAGAACGGGGATTCTCCTCCCCCAGCAAAATGGAATTTAAAGAACCTAAAGGAGCAGGAGTCATATGTTCTACAGAACGTCGTTCATACCAAGGTTGTATATCTTTTTTCAGCCTACTTAAGTCCAAACCATTAGGACCCTTTAGTGGTTCTAACCAACGACCGAGTTGAGAGAAGGAGGAGCGCAGCATCGGGCACTGTCACCACCGCCAACAACTGCACCAAGCACGCCTACGCCAACACAACCACAACTCTATCTACGCTACCTGAACCAGTGGAGTTCACAACACCACGTACTGCGGATTCGACACTGGACGTCGATCACGATGATGATCTAGTGGCCAAATACCGAAGGATTGGAGAATTATTGGGAGTACGTGAACCACCAGGATTAGCAGCGCGCAAGCTCGAAGAAGAAGTGGCCGAACTGCATGCCATCAGCGCGGATGAACCGAACTCCTTCGCTGAATCAGAAAGGAACCCGTGGACCTCAAAGAGGTATTCGCGCCGGTGGCAAGGTTGGAATCCGTCTGCTTGTTGCTGGCAATCGCGGCACATCGCTCTTGGGAGGTCCACCACATGGACGTGAAGTCTACTTTCCTCAACGGAGAGCTGAAAGAGACCGTCTACGTCCGACAATCACCTGGCTTTCTAGACAACGACAACTCCAACAAGGTACTATTATTTTGATCGAGGAGGAAATTGATTGTTGTTTTGATAGAGGAGGAAATCATTGATGAGGAAAAAGTCGAAGGAAAAATCTTGAAAGAAGAGTAACAGAACAACAAAAGAGAGAGACAGTATTTCCTTGAAGACCCAATGATCTAATTTCTCATTCAATTTATATATTTAAATAACAAATTTCTCATTCAATAGCAACTTAATTAAAGCACTTCCACTCGACGTGTGGACTTCCCACTCACTTTAGTTGTGTGGGTTTAACAGAAAAATAGTTACCTAAAAAATCCTAACTAAAACGTAGGAATGATTTTCAACCTAGGGATTTATCTAACAATCTCCTCCTAAAACCCTATGGTATATATTTATCTTATTGTTTGAACTTTGATTTTTTAGCGGAGTTCTTCAAATTTCACCCGCGCTAGAGATTTGGTGAAGATGTCTCCTCGGTTCGGATGAAATTAATCTTGATGAGCCCCCGATCTGCACATTTTTGGATGTAGTGGAATCTGATTTCTATGTGCTTGCTCCGGTCATACAAAACTGAATTTTTGATCAAGGAGATCATAGCTTTGTTGCCACGTAAAGCATTGGTGGATCGCCTTCTTTTTCGATGAATTCTTCCATCAGTCGCGCAAGCCAGACCCCCTATGTTGCTGCCGTCGAAGTGACAATGTACTCTGCTTCGCAAGAAGATAAAGCAACAAGCTTTTGCTTAGTTGATTGCCAGTAGATTGCGCCGCCTGAGAGGAAGTAAATCATCCCGCTGGTACTTTTATGATCATCAATGTCACCAGCCATGTCACTATCACTATAGCCGACCAGCTCAAGCTTCTCCTTTCCTCTTTCTGCGCAGTATCTCACACCCTAACTTCTGGTTCCGACAACATAGCGTAGGATGCACTTGACAGCCACATAGCGCAGGATTTATCTAACAGGTACTGCACCTGCACAAGGCACTCTATAGACTTCGGCAAGCACCATGAGCCTGGAATGCGAAGCTCAACAGTACCCTACTGTCACTGAAGTTCAAGCGTTGTGCCTCTGAGCATGGCATGTACACGCACGACCACGGCGAGCAGCAGCTGATTGTGGGAGTGTACGTTGACGACCTCATAACCATCACTGGAGGTGACATAGAAGTTCGTGAAAGATTCAAGAGGGAGATGTTAAAGAACTTGAAGATGAGCGATCTTGGTGTGCTGAGCTATTACCTCGACATCCAAGTGCAACAGAGTACTGCCGGCATCACCATCTGTCAAGGTGCGTACACGAAGAAGCTGCTGGACACAGCTGGGCTTACGGACAGTAACCCTAAAAGGATGCCAATGGAGGCCCGGCTCCAGCTAAGAAAGGCCGGCATTACGACAACAGTCGACGCCACCAATTACCGCAACATTGTCGATATTCTACGTTATTTGGTAAACACACGCCTTGACCTCGCTTATTCCGTTGGATATGTGAGTAGGTTTATGGAAACACCTAGGGGAGAAGCATCTCATGACTGTCAAGCACATCCTGCACTATGTGGTCGAAATCAGAGGCTGGGGTGTGAGATACAGAGTAGGGAGAGGAAAGGAAAAGCTTGAGCTGGTCGGCTACAGTGATAGTGACATGGCCGATGACGTTGATGATTGTAAGAGCACCAGTGGAATGATTTACTTCCTCTCAAACGGCGCGATCTGCTGGTAATCAACTAAACAAATGGTAGTTGTTTTGTCATCTTGCGAAGTAGAGTACACCACCACTTTGACGGCGGCCACACATGGGGTCTAGCTTGTGCTGCTAATGGAAGAACTCATCGAAAGAGAAGGCGATCCACCAATGCTATATGTGGACAACAAAGCTACGATCTCCCTGATCAAAAATCCAGTTTTGCACGATCAGAGCAAGCACATAGAAATCAGATTCCACTACACCCGAGAATGTGCAGATCGGGGGCTCATCAAGATTGAACTTCATCCGAACAGAGGAACAGCTTGGAGACATCTTCACCAAATCTCTAACGCGGGTGAAATTTGAAGAACTACGCTCGAAGATCGGAGTTTAAACAATAAGATAGATATACACAGGGCTTTAGGAGGAGATTGTTAGATAAATTTCTATTTCTAGGTTAAAAGTCATCCGTTCAAGCCACACAATTAAGGTGAGTAGAATATGTCAAGTGGAATGGCTTTAATTGAGTTGCCACTCCTAGCCATTTTTAGCATATAATTGTTATTTAAATATGCGAATGAGAAACATATCATCGAGTCTTCAGCAGAATCTGAAATACGTTTGTCTCTCTCTTGTGTTTTTCTTGTTTTTTTGTTTCTTCCTCCAACAATTGGTTATTTTATCTTCGACAATTTCCTCACGACAAATTTCTCCGTCATCAGAGCCCAGCGTCCTTACTAGCACACCACCTTGTGTCTACCCCCTTCAGAGAACAACCTCCTCGCTAGCACATCGTCCTTACTAGCACATCGTTCGATGTCTGGCTCTGATACCATTTGTAACGGCCCAGGCCCACTGTTAGCAAATATTGTCTTCTTCAGGCTTTCCCTTTTGGGCTTCCCTTCAAGGGTTTGAAACGCGTCTGCTAGGGAAAGGTTTCCACACCCTTATAAAGGGTGTTTCGTTCTCCTCCCCAACCAATGTGAGATTCTCATATTAGTGCTTCTAGAAATTAGATTAACCTTGAGGAGCTTGTCCTGAGTGTCCTAGAAATGTGAGTTCGAGAATTAAACTACCTAGCACCCAAGATAATTTAAGACAACTTACAAGGTCGTTCCAAGTGCAAATGGTATCACTATAGTCTAACTACCTTTTATTTCCTCCCGTACCTTAGTTGCACTATTTGGTGACCTATGTCAAACCTAGTAGTGCGGGCCAAGCTGTAGGCATCGAGGAACCTGTACCGTTGAGTGTGACAAAGGTCAAATGGTATGACGTGTTATGAATACTTGAGGAGTAACTATTATGTGTTAAAAACATGTCAAGAGCCTAAGCTGTGATTTTATAAATCCGTCTTGAGAGGAGACGAGGGAGTACATAAGTAGTTTAGCTCATGTTGCGCATCACTATTGTGTAGAAATGAGTCCAGAGCTAAGGCCCTAATTTCATAAACTTGTCATGAGAGGAGACTGAGAGATTATGTAGGTAGTTTAGCTCGAGAGAAGAGCCACTATTGTATGTGGAGATGGTCAGGAGCTCCCTAAATGGAGTTGTTGCACAATAAACCTGCTCTAAAAGAGGGCGAGGAACCACACAGGTAGGCTAGTAGCTAGCTAGCAGATGAGGTCACTCTCCTAAAATTTGACTCTATAATGGTTCACGTGTAAAGGTTGCTTGTTAACCTTACACAACGAAATTTAGAAAGAGAAATGATAATGTCCTATGAGAAATGACGAGCTTGCACCTCAACCTAGAGTATCGAACATACACGGTCAAGGCAAACCAATCTTACTAAGTATTTGGGCATAATAGCTTGTTGACCCTAGAGATGAGATATGTGGATCCGCGACGCTAGAATTTTGTGAACAACTTTCTGACTCTGATTAGGTTTGTAATAAGACTGAGAATTGCTCGGAGCTTTGAAATCTCTCCAAAAGCTCAGATAGATGTAGAGTTAGATCCAAACTTCCTAGAGCCTAGAGAAAATCTCGTGGTAACCTACGAAACCTCTCTCTAGTAGTGACAAATGGTTGACAAATGAAGGTTAAACCTACGAAACCTACGAAAATCATGTTGTGACAAATCAACTTTTAACAACGAAAGACAAATATTATCTTTTAAAAAAAAACCATTTATCACATGTTCGATTGCAACTTCCTTCTTTCCATAACATTTAAACCCGAAGGTTACGAAGGTCAAGCCATCTTCCACATGCTCGAAGTCTTTAAAATAAAAAGTCACATGCGCTACTATGTTTCTAAGATGACGTAGATTCATTGAATTCAATAAATGCTAATAAATGCCAATTATTTTTGGACTATCCAACCTTTGTTTAATGAATCAAAGATGTATTTTACATTCTTTTCAAAAATAAATTTTTAATTAAAATATCATTCATTTCAACCTAATTCAATTAATTTAATCCTCATCCTATTAGTATAAAATAAAATAAAATAAAATATAACTTTCATAATTTTTATAATATTATTAACTAAAAGTAGCCGATAAAGTAAATATATTTTTTTAAATTCAATCTTTTGTTATAGTAAATAAATAAATAAATAAAGTCACCTTTGGGCAAGGGGGCGGCCAACTTCACTATACGAATTATTTATTGTTTTAAAAGTCTTACTCAAAATAAATACTCTAACTTCAATACATACTTAATTCATCCAAGCAATTTGTGTAAATTTGTGTCATTTAAATATTAAATTTAAAAAGTACCAAATGGGTATTAAAATTTTTAATTTGTATTTAATGGGTTATTGAATTTTTCATCTTTTGTGTATAATGTGATGCCCGAGTAAAGAAAAAGTACATAAATGAATTGAGACTATACCTAAATGAGAGTGATCCTGAGAGTAGGAACACTAAGAAATGCTTAAAAGAATTGAAAGTTATTATCCATACCAAGAAAGTGCACCTCCATTTTCGGTAATTCAATCATAGGAATTTCAAACTTAACCATCATTTACTTGGAGCAATCGTATATTAGGTAACCTTCTGAAAATTTTCGTAAGAATCATGTGAGTGAGGACAAAGCTGGTTAAAAGAAGCGAAAAAGTGAGTGACGTCTATGAGAATAGTCTTCGCTCTTAAAAACGAAACTTCATTATATTCCCATATTAAAACGTTCTCGAATTTTCTTCTTGATTACACTATAAAAAAAGCTAAATATATTTTGACTTCTTGGTGGCAGCGGCTGCTAATGTTCAATGTGCAGAACCATCGATTGATAAGGACTTGGATCGTTTATGTCCGGTCGGCGCCGTCGGACATTTGGATTATTTGGCGGCTCTCATATGGGGATGTTATAGTCATTCCATTTCCATCTTTTTTTATTTAAAGTTTTCAATTATTCAAGTCTCTAACTCTAATGGATTTGTTTGAAATAATCTTTTTTCTTTTTTAATTATTTAAATTGATATACAAATTTATTTAAGAAAATTTAAATATATAAAATATATTTGTTACTTGAGATAATTACTAGCCCATAAATTAACCTGAATTCGTATAAGAATATTCACATTAAGTTCTAACTTTGGAGATTTTATTGACATCTAAGGCTGTCTCAAGACCCGTCAGAACAGTTTGGAATTAATGGATCTTTCTATAGACCTACAAGGAGCGTAAAGACTAATTTATCACAAAAATTCGTTACTTCTAAAGTGTAATATTGTCGAAATAGTTTGTGATTAGTAGTTTAATAGGTTACTATATGAGGATGGTTAAGGGGTTTGCTAACTTACTCTATACGAATTCTATGACAACATGCAGTGAGTCATATAGAGACATCATGTGGGTACGATCAAAGGGTCTCCAGTTATCCGTTGGGAACTCAACCTCACTCTAGTAGCTTGGTAGGTATGAGTGTCACCCCTCTCACTTGAGATAATATTTGTTGCCCATTAAGGAGGTGCAAGCTAATCCCTTATAGTTGTCTAATATCGAGTGATATTTTCCACGATGTCTTGGAGTTCAGTTGCTAGGAGGAGTTAAAAGGTTGCATCTCAAAGATATATGAGGGCAAACAGGTAAGGATATTTTAGTAGGGTTAACCTAAATAAGCTTAAGACCCAATGTACTAGGTATTCCAATCAAACTTAACCTAATTATGTTTATAAACAAAAACTGACTTACGTGGAATTAGATCATACTTGTATACTTAGTCGAGGTGAGTCTTAGCTTCAGGTGAATTGCAAAGAAACCAATGAATCCTTATCTAATGAAAACTATCGATAGGATCTAATCAACTTAACTCTAATACAAATCTATAACATCTCGCTTCTCAAAAATTCGAATCACGAATTGCCAAATAGACTCAAAAGAAAAAAAATGGCGATAAAAAGTTAAAAAAAATTACAAAATGGAACAATTTCCAAGAAAATAATATTAAAATATTATTTGAAAGTACGACTCAATCTAGGGGTCCTCACTATAGCTAGAGGCTCTACACAGTAATTTATGATCCATCTATAAAACAAAGACTAGCATGAATGAGTATAAATATATTCTGTGAGCAATATACTTGTAGGCTATCGTCCTAATATATCTTATTTGATGTTTCTCAAGCGAGGTGGTTTTTCAATGTCCTAAAGTTAGCCAACTTCATGGCTTGAGTTCTTTTTAATCCTATTAGACTCTTTAAATACATACTTCCTACTTGCTCCTATTTCAAGGATGTAAGACACCCACTAGATTTGCTCGGGTTTCTAGGTGTACATAGCCTCTCATTTTTTGCTCGTCTATCCAGGACTCCAGGGTGATTCTAATAAGTATAGAGAAGTCATCACTCTATTTTGGATCGATTAAAAACTAAAAAGATAAAAAAAAACAAATTGAAAAGAAACGCAAAGGAAACATATATCCGATCTTGAGCCTGAAGCTCTGATACCAAATGATATGATAAGGAATCAATACAAGGGGAATAAGATTCGGATTTCCTTGTTGATCGAATATCTCAAGGCAAGAATATTGTTTGAGATTCGAATCACTCCAGAAGCAAGATCGATCATGTCTAGCTTCAATGATTCTTGTTGATCAAATATCTCAAACACTTGTTTGAGATTCGAATCACTCCACAAGCAAGATTGATCATGTCGAGCTTGAATGATTCTACATGCAATCTAAACTACATAGAATTGCAAAGAAACTTAGCCATCGGCTAAAGAAAAGCACAAATGCTTCTTTACTATATTTTCCAAGTCTTCCTTACAAATACAACATACATGGCTTTATATAGCCTAAAAAATGAAACTACTAAAGGTATTCCAAAAGTTGTAACATTCCTACTTTATGGCCATAATTAGCCATTATGTAAATGTAACCGAAATTAAATAACAAGTCTTAAAATACAATAACTCTAAATTACTCTAAATTGTAACCCACCCAAAATTTACAACAATCAAACTTCATTCTTCTTCAATGTAGCATGAATTGAAACATCTTTTTGATAATTTTGACAACCTTTTCTTCACATCTTCATTGAAGTATATTGTATGATTGATGTCTCTTGGTTCATATCAGGAAACCTCTTAGTTTCTCTATAACTCTATATGTGCGTACTACTAAGCTCTAGACAGAAACTCACCTAATGGTGCCTAACAATCATATTCTCATGTCATTCCAAGCTTCTAAGTAGTTAGAGTAGTCTCTCCACTAAGCATAACCAGAACTCCTTCAATAGTGAGTATGCCGCGTTTTAGGTGGATGACGTTGCATTCCTATATGCTAAGTAGACCCTCACTAAATGAGGAGAGTTCACGATTAGGGGTTGCCCATATCGTCATAGCAGACTCAGACCGTGGTTCTGTAACACCCCTAATTTTCTCTAACCTAATTAGCGACGTTACCTTATACTTGCATAATCAACAGAACAAGAGTTCACGTCAGACAGTCTCAATAACAACAATGTGTTCATTATTATAAGCAGTTCATACTTGGGGAAATCAAGAACGACAACCTAGCCTAGAAATAATCAACAGAGAACTAGAGGAAACAATTGCAATAACTATGAACCCAAAAGAATCCAACAAGGCGCCTACGACACTACAAACTCTCCTCAAGATTTCCATGGCCTTCGCAGCATCCACCGTCAGCCGTACATGGGAGCCTTGCCCTTACCTGAAAATATGGGTAGCACGTGGCTTGAGTATTATATAAAATACCCAGTAAGTCGCCCCACTGTTGGAGTTAAGCATATAATCATACATCCGGATACAAGCAGTCGCACACAATACACATACATGTCGCACATAATACACCTACATGAGCACAAGTGTTAAAAGAAGAAACTGAGAGAGGGGTCTGTCTTCCATTCCTTCTCATGGCCTTAGGCCCTTGCTTTGTCCGGGCGGGAGTGGATGTATGGTACTTTTCCACACATGGCCTACGTGTGTGATTGTGGGCCCACCAGGCGAGTTTGCAAGCGAACTCCCTGGGCCTGGCTTGGTCGGGTATGTATGACATACAATACCGGACGACACGGACAAAGGAGGGCTTGCATGATATCGTGGTGAATACAATATCGAATATACGCGTCCATATCATCAGTAGCATAATGGGGAGTGCCCCAGGTACATAACCATAGCGTGCATGAGGTTCTTAAGGTTTACCTCCATGGCATTATACATACAACGTTCCATCCCCTCACCGCATTGTTGGGTTTTATGTCCTAAAACTCATAGTTTGTAAACAAAGATATATTCTATTTTCAATAAAGTTATTATTGATGTTTATTCAGTAAAAATTGTTATTGAATAAAGTGAACTTTACGATCATTAATCTAAATCCAATAAACTAAGAACACTCTGGCTATAGTATGATTACTTGAACTATATGTAGAGACATAAGAGTGGATCAAGTTCAAGTATATAGTCAAAATGATCTATAGTATAAGGATAAGGCTGAGTACCTTATTCTGGGGACACTATGGATGCGGCCCACTTTTGTATATGATATAAACAATGTGATCACTAAATTGTGCATGTCAAGACATGTGAGTGAGGGCGTCCTATGCAATGAGTATTGCATAAGATCGGACCATGAAGAAAACCACTCTCACTTTATAAAGTCATTTACTGTTGAGACTAATTTTCTTTTCATTTGATAACCTAGGTAACTCGGTTTTAATCCTGAGCTAACCATGAACTCCTGTTTATTCGGAATTATCCTTAGATTTGCAT